GCCCCTGTGTTAATATTTGACAACATACACCACACCCCTGTGTTAATATTTGACAAAATACACCACACCCCTGTGTTAATATTTGACAACATTCACCACACCCCTGTGTTAATATTTGGCAACATTCACCATGCCCCTGTGTTAATATTTGACAACATACACCATGCTGTGTTAATATTTGACAACACACACCATGCCCCTGTGTTAATATTTGACAACATACACCACGCCCATGTGTTAATATTTGTGTATATCATTATTACAGAAGTAGAAAACTCACCTGTCTGCTCTTGGTTTAGGAGGACTACTGAATAAACTGTCATCAGCATCCTCATCAAACAGACTATTGTTGGAAGAACTCCGGCCATCTTTCTTCACTTTATCAACTTGTCGTGAAGACAAAGAGGACTGTGATTGGCTAGATTTAATGCTGCTGCTACGGGACTTGTGTCCAGCTGAGGCATCGCTGTCTTCATCCTGGTATAAACGGAACAAAATCTATTTTAGAATATAAATACAGATATATTTAATAAATTATTATATATAAATATAAATAATATACACATGAAAATTTGTAAAGAGTGTAAGAAAAGAAGGAAGAAATTTTAAAAGACATGTGTCTGATCAAGCATATCAAAACTGACAAGTAAGGTTCCTTATAAAAGGTTAAAAAACTATTTCCGACAACTATAGACAGACCGTGGTAAACAGGAAGACAAATCACCATATATGTATATTAAAAAAACACTAATCCTTCATCAACATGATAAACGATGCTTGGAAAAGTTGTTTCCTTATCATGTCTATATTATGGACGAAACTTTCAAATTCAATAATTAAGAGCGTAAATTGTGAAAGAGGCTAGGATTATTGTCTATGATCTCACAAATTGAGAAAATGAACTTGCCAAGATGGCTTTACGGAGCTGGCTCTGAAGTTTTACCTTCTAAATTAAGCCTTCTTCCCCAAATATGCTGTTCCACCTAGCTTTAACTGCTAGCTTTAAGACTTCCTACCCTACATATATGTTACATTTTTGTGACTGAAATAACATTCTGCATCGCAAAAGGTAATTATTTCTAAAACAGAAATAATAAAAGTTCCCTCAACAACCAATGATTAGATTGTTTGTCTCACAATGACAAGGCCTGAAATCTGACATTATGTCTAGACCGGACAGCAAACTGGATCTGGTTTATAGAATATGTCCACTTACATCAGAGGCTGGACGCTGTTTCTTCAGAGCAGCAGCTAGTGGGTTAGGTCCACTACCAAACATGGAGACAGCCCCCGCTGGTAGCTGTGAGAACACAAACAATAACAAAAATTGTCATACCAGAGTCTAGTAATATGGAAATTGTGCTTTGTTTTTTTGTTGTTATATTTTGTAGTCTCAAAACAAATTATTCAGGAATTTGGGAATTTAAGTTGATTATTTCTTAAAACAGAAAATTCAATATTCCAAATTTTCACAGAAACCCAAAGTGGCTTTATCAAAGGTTACTAAATGTCAAACATATATGATGCCACAACTTCTATTTCTCCCGTCAAGAAGAAATTGTTTAAAGAAAAAGTTGACAGATGATGGATGCCGTACCACAGGATAAGCTCACCTGGCCCCTTGAGCCAAATGAGCTAAATATTCAACATTAATGTCCCTTTGTTTGACCCCTTACATTGTTGACCAGTGACCCCACATTAATTGACCTTTGAACTTGTGTTTATTTCACCTTTAACCTTAGGATCCTGCATTTCTTGATACCTTGCCTTATAGACATTCGTTAACCAGTCTTCTGACTGTATGACCCTAACCTTTTTCTCTGGTTTCTTTTTCTCCTCTGGTGGTTTTGCTGCTGAACCTGATCCAAACAAATCCCCCTCATCATCCTCGTCATCAAACAATGCAGATTTAGATGGAGCTTTGACCTTTTCTTCTCCTGAAACACAAAGACAACCTTACTAGAAGTCAACGTCATCAACACACATCACCGATACTATGTCAAAGTCTATCAGTCACAATCTTAAGTCAAGGTCATCATTATGCAACTTTCAAATCAAATTCATGATTATGGATTTTACTTCTGATACAAATG